GCCACCTTAGGTGTACGTGGCTGGCGCCTTAGCCAGTTGAGCTATAGGTGCCGAGCCCAATACAGATTCTAAACCCCAACTCCTAGGAAAACTCAGGACTTATTTTCATTGACAACTGTCTCAGCCTCTGGAACAGTGGGCCCGAGTGAGCAGGAGGACTGCGGCCATGTGGCGAGACTTCTCATGGAAACAGAAGAAAGCAAATGAAAACAAGAGCTCTCACCTTCAGTGGAACAGCGCTGGGTCCTCCTGAAGAGTCAGGCCAACATTTCAGAAGAATGTCTGCAATAAACAATGCTGTAACCACCCACAACTGCTCTCTGGGGAAAACGCAAGTTAACGACCTGGGATGAGTGAAAGCCACTTGGATGGGTTAAAGCCATTCAGAAGACGTTCAGAAGGACAGCAAATGCATCAAGAATAAGTAGCCCACAGACCTCAAACAAACGGAGCAGACACACGACGTGACAAGTTGAAATGTAAAGAGACAAACTTAAATGTCCACTTTTGGGTGTTTAAAGTCAACTATGCAATGATGAAGTAGGGGAAAGAGGCCAACATGAAAAACGCATGAGCTCACAATGAATCATCACAAAACTGCAGAGACACCGATGCAGCCTGGGGATGCATTAACAGAGGCATGGCATCAAGAACTTGGGAGGGTCGGGCAGAGTGACAGACGGCTGCTCAGGGCCTACAAGGACACTGGGCGCCAAGCAGTGAAGTTGAAGCTGCTCCCCTAGAGACGCAAAGACTCAGCGGGAAGACCCGTGCTACACTCCTGAAGGGCAGAACAGTGGATAGAAGGTTCAGGAAGAAAGGCTGGTTTCATACAAGGGGAAACCTCTCCGGTCACAGCAGTCCAGTGGCTGGCCCGGGCAGCAGGAGCAGCCTGGCAAGAGGAGGCCAGAGTAGCACAGGGCCAGGGGACCTGACACCCTCCCAGCCCTGAGTTTCTGGGCTTCCCAGACCCCTCCTGCCGAACCTCATTTTCTTACTCTCAAGCTATCCCGAACAGATGGGTGTTACATTTGGCCAGGACCGTTTCCAAGGGCGATTCCAAATATAAGTCCAAATTCATTCCAGGCCTTCTGTGCTGCAGTTATTTTAGAGGCTGCCGGTGCGGCCCGTGGTGTGGTGTTCAGTCCCTTTCCTATGGCATGAAGGGGTCTTGGAGCCTCAAGGGGCAGTGAGATGGGATTTAAGGGGGGGGGGGATCCCAAAACCTAGCCCTTCAGAAAGTAACCATGTCTCTCCCCATAGGGACAAAGAGGTTGCCAGGAGGGAGCCGCAAGGCCGTACCAGATAAAATCTGGACCCATCATCCCAAGACCCCTGCTGAACTCACTCTGAGGTCAGCCTGCTGATCACTGTCATAGCAGGAGCAGCTGCTGCCCTATAAGCGCCCCCCAACCCCAACCCCAAGCCAGGCTGTGTGACTGCTTTCCCAGCTCGACTCCTACAATTTCCTGTTTCTGCCCCGACACGGATGCTGGTAGCTACAGAGGGCAGCCACTACCAGGCCCTGTGCTGGGTAGCCCACATACTCTGGTTTTTCCCTCACAACGCCATCTGACAGGGCAGAGGACTGCAGGTCAGAGAAGTTAAGGAATTTGCCCACAGTCGTACAGCCCAGGGAGCTCCTGGCTGGGACCCAAACAAATCCAGGTCTGCCTAACCCCAGGGCCCCACTGGCCTAACAGGATGTAGCCCCTGCCCTCCCAGTTTAGAGGACACAAATCAGGGGCTAGCTAGAGCAGGGCCAGCCACAGAGCTGACAATTCTATGGGTTTTGTTTGTTTTGATTTCTTTTTTTTTTTTGCAGTCTTTGGCCGGGGCTGGGTTTGAACCGCCACCTCCAGCATATGGAGCCAGCGCCCTACCCCTTGAGTCACAGGCACCACCCCTTGATGTTTTTATTGTTCTAGGTGTGTAATGATTTGGAAGCAAAATTCAATTCTGCTACAAAACTACTTAATAAGTCACAGAAGACTGGTAAACAATCATAAAGTATAATAGAGCAGCAAGCAGAGATTTTGATAAACAGAAACTTCATTGCCATGGTCAGGAAAAGCAAATGTGTTTATGAAACATCACACTGGGCACCTAGAAAAGTGACAGCAACAACTAAGGGACGCCCAGGTATGTGTCATCAATGCGGGACACAACATGTGGTCTCTCACCACTCGAGCAGCTGGTGCTCATTGGTACAGTGACAGCTCACTTAGCAGTTATAGTCCTTAAAATGTGACTTGCTTTTTAACTGGCCTTCCCTCTGCAGGTTCCTGCCTCCAGTGCCACTAGTTTGGGGAAATCTCTTTCTATAATGGGTTTTTCCTCCTATTATAGGAAAATTCCTCCTATTTTTTGTTCATATCATTTTTATACTGAGGTATAATCCAGGTACATTTTAAAAGGAACAATTTAGTAGTTTCTAGTGCATGCACAAAGCTGTGTGACCGCCACCAC